TTAATGATTATGCAAAGGATTATTTATCACCAATAATTCATGTTGTCGATTAATAAATCATTTCTTGTATTTGCGTAGCCTACGAACGCAGACGTATTTCCGGCTGTCGCTTCTGTCGCACGACTGCGAACCCGAGCCAGGAAACGATTTCTGTGACGTAGGAATTTTAAGCCAATCACAGTTTAGCTCAAGTAGCCCCAGAGCTACTGCGCGAGGTATTCACTGCGAGGAGCACTCGAGTTTCATTCTACCATGGAATCTGATTGATCAAAGAGAAACAAAAGTCATTACGTCACAGAAATCGTTTCCTGGCTCGGGTTCGCAGAGGTTCTTTTCGGCGGAGACAAGCGACAGCCGGAAATACGTCTGCGTTCGCAGGCTAGTATTTGCGGTAAGTTTATCTCCTTTGGACTGCTTTGACTGTCATGTTACCGATACGTTACAGCCAGTAAACCCACACTGGAAATTGGCCAGTGGAGGTGCCCTGTGACACGCAGGCGAGAAATTGGAATGCCTACAAACGCCCGGTTGTATCAGAATTTTTTCGTTATATCGAGATAATCGTATTATCCAAAGACTGTTTTTCTTGGTATTAAGAAATCTACCGTAAAATTCTGATGATAAGCCCTGAACTCATAGTTGCTAAAAAAGCTTTTTCGCTGGCTGATTTTCAGAAATAAAACATAGGCACGCAAGGTGTGCAGGAGTTATTTTTCGTTTATTAACAGTCGTGTGAATAAATGAAGTGTTGAACTGGCTTTATTATCAGGAGGAGGAATGGAGGCGCGGGGTGGAAGCAGTTACATATACGGAAGAATTTTTGCGCATCCTGAAGACTGATTTGAATTTAAATTTTCATGCGATGATAGGTATGGATAGTTTTACGTGAATAAAAGTATCGCGAGTGGTAAAACTCCCTAGTAAAAAGCACAAAACAAGTCCCACAGTCATTAAATGAACATCGCAAGTCTCTGAGCTTCTCTGGCCAACGTACTCTTACGAAACAAAACACAAGACAACTTCTACGATAGGGGCTTTTATAATTAACATAGCTTGAAAACTTTAGCTCAGTCCCTCTAAGCCCATGGTTGGTTGGTTCGTTTGTTTGTTTTCCTCAGTGGTTGGGGGAATGGAGGACGTTATTAGTTTTATTAGAATTTTGGCTTTTTCAAAACATATATTATTTTACTTGTATCGTAATTAATTCATGTTTTTCTGTCAACTCATTGAATCATGAAATATAGAAGTAGTTCCCGATTGATCGACAGAAAGTATCAGTACCGAACAAAGAAAAATCGTGTCATTTAGTGTTTTCATTTAAAACATTAATTTTCCTCAATGTGTAGCTTTCACCAGTTTGATATATACGACATCTATAGCCTGTTTGAAGCTAAAGCTGTCCTGGTGATGGTGAGAAATTAACCGGGCGAAGGAGAAAGTCCATCCCAAGTTTTTATTGAAATGGCAAGCAAGAAAGAAAATAAGTTTGATTTGCGATCTCATTGCAGTAGCGAGTGACAAGAAAGTGAAAGCAAGTGAAGGGTATGTGGATAGCATATTTGTACCAGTTCTCAATTGTAATTTGTATTTCTAAGTCAGAATTTGTTAATACTTCTATTGCGCGTGTTTACTTATCTAAATCAGCAATAACGACGCAATGAATGATTTGTCGGATCGAGAGATACGTATTGTACAGGAAGTTCAACGACAGAGCCGATAAGGTGGGTAGAGGTGAGTTTCAGAAATTAACAAAATGGCCTGGAGAAACTGATCATTTCAAAAGTAGAACATAATAATGGAGTCATTTCATATCAAATTTCTTATTTCTTATCAGTTTACGTTGAAGTACAGTCGAGCAGAAAGAGGTTTAAAACATGAAATCATTTTTCCCTAGATGACACAGGTTTCGTCTGTCTTTGACGTAAACTGCTTTTAAGATAAAATCTCCTGGAATAACACAATAATAAACTAAACCGCAAGAGGCATTGCAGACTCTTCACCTGCTGTTTGCTTAACGGCTTGAGCAATAAAAACTTCTATTCAGTTCTATTTATCATTCAGCACAGCAAGCTCTCTGCAATCTCTTCCTCATTTTGAGTTTCGATATGTTATGACATGTCATGTGCTGAATATATCAACATAAACACAACAAGCAAACAAATTACACGGCGAGCCGAAGGCGCACCAAGCAAGGTTTAACCAATGTAAACCATGGCAATACAAGACTATGGCTTTTAGTGGAAAACGTCATTGTGTTATCATGCTAGAAGTCATGAACCTAGCTACAATGAGCGACAAAAAGCGACCCAAACCGTATATACGTACCGAACATGCAAAAGAATTTCATTATCACATGATTGACTCGCTGTGATTGAGGTTCTGCGGAGCTGAACCAAGACGTCTCTTCTCCCCACTGCCTGCTTAGTGAAGGCATCAATCTATTACAGTCACGGCTTTTAGATGGTATGTGACCATGACTCGTTTGTGAATTATGATTATAAATTTGTACACTGTTTAATTTCAATTATTCTTGAAAGCAATTCAGTGGGCATGTGACCAACAACTCTGCTTATCGTAAGTAATTCTTGAAAGCGTAAGCCTAAATTTTTCAAGTTTGTCTGACACACTTCTAGAATCTCAACCTTGTTCCTTGTCTACGCTGATTGCCTCGTTGATACGTTATAACTTTGAGATTTTGTTCAGTTAGTTATAAAAGAAATGTTTTTGTGCCCCGATAAAGCGATATACGACTCTTTTGACAACAGAGGCCTCCTAGCATTTTCAACGGAGTATGTATTGTTGCTACGACTGTGTAGACAAGAAATCCAACTGTTTTACGCCTAGTTACCTATTGAAGTAATTCAACCAAGAGTTTCAGAAGCTAATAACTTATTACAACGATTATATTTGTTAATCGACTCGTGAAAACCATTCTACTTCAAGTTACGTTGAAACTTAGAACAGTTGTGGCTACCAAGATCAGGTATACTACAACAATTCTTTTCTTTTTGGGGTTCTTTTGGTCACTTCACGTAAGCTATTGCTCATGCAGCTAAACGAATCAGTTTGAAAAACGTATCTATATAAATAACAAGAGAGTCAAGGGAGCGGTTACGCAACCAATTCAGTAGTATAAACTTTACATGCGAAAACACATTATGAGACGTGATAAAAGATGCCCTCCATTGAATATAACCATAACTTGAGTCCGAAGCTGAGAATGGGACTGAATTCTCAGCAAAAGGCAGTAATGGGCCGCCTAATCACGGTTTTCGACGTCGTCTTGCCGGGTAGGTAAAGCGGTCAGAAATTACAGTGGTTTGTACGGGAATCGGATGGCAAATACCTTTTTTTTAAATCAGTATTGAATTTTGCACAACTTATGAATCGCAACTTTACCATACTAGGTAGCAGATTGTATTCACCAAATTTGAAGGAAGTAGCTGGGCTCAGTTAATTTTTAATTTCCCATATGTTTGTCTACAATTTTCAGTTAACTGAGCGTCTTCTAGCCAAGCTACATAATTCAAACTTGGTAAAAACACTCTTCTACCTAGCACTGTATTTTAACGCTGCGATTCACAGATTGTGTAAAATTCAATTTTTGAAAAAGTTATTTGCCATCGGACTCTCATAAAAACACTATAAGTTCTGACCGCTTTGTCTACCCCGCTAGATGGCGTCGAAAACCGTGATAAGGCCGATTATGCCTATTGTCATTGTTTGGAGAAATTCGTTCTTGATCACTCATTATTACAAAATGACAAACGCGATGGACTCGTACGTTGGTGTAACTCACCAGCGAAGATGAAAAACAGAATAAAAAGCTCCGTATTGCCCTGTTTATTATATTACAAAGAAATTATTTCATTGTGATTGGCCGAGAGCAGGCAATTTATCGTTAATTTTTTATTCCAGTCACAATTTTGTCAGTCATATAATGAATGAGTAATGGTATGAAAGCTCGAGCAATTAAGAATTCGTGATATTTTTAAATTTATTTTCAGATTGCACTTCTAAATACTTTTTAGATATCACCGATAGTGTAAACACTTAATTGCACTCGCATTCATACGATTACCAATACAAACATATTGTCTCCTTTACTCTTACCTGTACCGAATAGTAGAGAGTCATTGAGGCAGTTTGCTCACTCGATACCAAACAATATGCTGGTGATCAACGTTTTGGTCTGAAGGATTTAGCTAAATAATGATTGATTGGGAAGCATTTGATGTATTTCAGTAATCATACGGTATTTTAAGTAATCATACGGTTTTTCTCGTTCAATTTGGAATTAATTTGCACATGTGAGTTTTTCGAAAAGCTGAAACTGCACTCGCCGAAGCAGCTCGTGCAATTTCAACTTTTTGAAAAACTCACTCGTGCAAATTAGTTCCAAACTGAACTCGAAACCGTATGATTACTTATTAATAATATAAACATGAAATAATTTGCGTGAAGGAAATGCCGGAAGACCTTTCTTGAAGCCATATTTTCTCATTTGAGAAAACTTTTTTCAACGTTTCCGCACAAAATTTTCCTCATCATTTTACGTAATATCATTGGCTTCAAAATTTCCTATTTTCTTTCATCCAATCATGATCCAGAATTACGATGTTTAATTTGCACTGGTGTTACACTCTTTGCACCGGTGTTACACTTTTTGCACTGGTTTTTATACACTTGAAGTGCACTGCTCTCAGTCAATCAGAATCGAGTAATTTTTTCATGTATATAATTAGTGACATAATAGTTCGCCTCAATTATGAATTGAATACTTTTGGCCATAAAGCAAGCACGACTTTAATCACCTTTGTTATTGGGCAAAAAAAAATGTCACAACAGTTATAACGGGGACCTAAAACTCCTTCCTAGATTTCTTCACCCACAAGAGATCTGGGAACAACGCGAGCACCCAAGTTTGGACAAGTTTGGTCAAAACAAAATGAGGGATGTTTTCTCGAGTAATGACCAATGCTTTGCGGGCGTCATTGGTGAGAAGTTTCACTTCTAAAAGCCCTGAGCTTGAAAACAAAATAAAGAGGTTGTAGTCTGAAAGAAAAAAATAATTAAATTAACACGAAAGTTCACTAATCTAAACCAACGGACAAGAAAAGCTAATAACTGAAGGTGCTGCATGGTATACTTCCACTACAAAAAACGCAAGCCCGAGGAAAATTTGACAAAGTGTGTGTATTTGTTCATAAATATTTGATTGTAATCGGTAATCCCACCTGCCATTAAACCTGGTCTATTTATGTCGAAAAAAATATTCGAATATATGATAGTTTGATTTCACAGAGTAAAAAATAAGATGCTAAGTTATTCTAGTTTGCCTCGGAAGATCCCAGATCTTACCAGACGAGCGAGGAGACAACGACGGCTATTACAACTGAGTTACAAAATAATTCACGCAAAACACGCTGTGAAAGAAAAGGACTCTGATGTGCATTGTAAGATCGCCACACGAAAGAAAAGAACTCGAGATTGTAAAATTTAGGTCTTAGAGAAGGCTCAAGAATAACTCCTTCTCCTTCGAAATATTTAAGAAAATTTTCAAAATTTTTCAGTGGTTGTTTACACCACCCATGGTTTCATTCTTATACCAGTGATGAATTTGATATTGTTAATAAATTTCGGTTTTCACTTTTTGGCAAGTGTTAAATGAGACTTATTCCAGCTATAACTCTAACTATGCGTTGGAGTTGATAAGAGCGCCCGAGTTCGGGATTGCAAAACTAATCTAGAAATACTAATTAAAATTAATATGTGTTTGGCTGTGACAGCCAAAGTTTGCACCAACCAATTTATCTCTCACAGTCTAATAATAGATGCCTATAGAACTTTAAAAGAAAGTACACTATGAAATTTTAATTCAAGGCTCTTAAAGGTAAAAATTAAACAACTTTCTTTTAAACAAAGGAAGCGAAGAGAATGTGATGTGGTTTATTGCGCTGCATGCGAGTGAGAAGATAGAGTATCAACTTTCATCAGATGTATGCTTCCAAGTGGANCCTACTTATTATTCAACTTGCTTTGTAATCATTCATTCAACTGAAGATGACAGAAGTTCTGTCGAAACATGTCTTTTAAACTTAAAAAATTGGTCGTTTCCTTAAAATCTTTATGTCTGCTGCTATCTAGACCTTTTGGAAACATCACAAAAGTTGTATTACCGAGGGGATGAGTCGGTGTCATAAAATGAATAACACTGTCTTTAGCTAAAGAGGGGAAAGCCACATCATCCGTTATTAGTTTTCATTCGAATCCTCTTGGTTCTTATACGCAATGTTCGTGTTTCTGAAACAATGATAGTTCTTCAATCTAGACACAGTTATTAGAGGGAATGGTTAAGAAACCTGGCAAAGTTCTTTGTTGTATGTTTTTTGGATATTTTGACCCTGTACAAAACCCGGCAAAATACAAACGATGGTTATGCGTGTGCTCATACAACTAACCAAAAGAAGCATTGCGATTATGTAATTTATGCATAGTCAATGAGCATAAAACAAAAGATGCGCAGGGAAAAGGACCTACATAAATCTAGGCCTGTTTGTTTGTTTGTTTCTTTGATGTTTACTGAGCTTCTTAACCATTTCCCTCTATTAACTATGATCTGGAGTCTTATTGAATGACGCCGTACTACCTATTTACAGCTTTGCAATACTGAACTTACTTCACTAGTAGTACTTGCAATTTACAGTAATTAGAAACCTTGCTTACAATTCTAAGGCTATTTACACTACTAACATTACACACCATGCTAACGTGAACGTTTCTGACCAATCAGAAGAGAGTGCAAAGATTTAACTTGCTGCAACATAAAATAGTTGCTAAACAACGGAATAAGCCATATTCGTATTCCCGGTATTGGACTGGAACTAGCTTGCAACTGAGGCTAATGTGGGCAGTCTCTTCAAATGCAAATGACATCTATCTCTTTTCAATGATAATTCCCCACATGAGCCTCTCTTGCAAGCTAGTTCCAGTCCACTACCGACAATACGAATTGGGTCTATTGGTCAATGATGAGAAACCGTCGACGGACTGTTAACACTAAACTTTCATAAATTACATCCAATACAAATTGGATAATGGAATTTTCTGACTTTCTGATCATAGATAAAGACGATACAAATTCGACAGTGCGGCAATGGCACCTTTACACAGAAGTCGCAGTTTGCTTATCACTATGGCTACCTTCTCTCTATTGACCTCAGGTAACAGTCAGTCATCTTGGCGAAGTATTGATTAAGTAGAAATAACTGAATAGTTACAGATATGTGCACATGGTAAATTATAGAAAATCACGAAGATAAACAGGTTCGTCATACATTTAAGAGTAATTTCCAGGTACAATATTAACTGAATAAAAGCAAAAGTTGATCCATAAAATGACAGATGTTTCGATCTTACTTTTCTTTTTCAGCGCGAGCGGCAAATCCGTCAGCCGAACAAGTTCTGATTTCAACGCTTATGCGTACTTATAACAGAAACGCTCGTCCAGTATTTGACAGAAAAAGGGCCACAAATGTCACGTTTGGACTTGAGGTTGTTCAGTTAGTGAACGTGGTAAGACTAAAAATCTCCAAGTTGAACAAAGAAATCCGTAGCCTACAAGGAAAGCGTGACGGATCACTGGAGTAGTAAAACCTTGAGAGCTGGCCCCAGACTTAAATTTGTTTCAATGTTCATTTGCCACTTCAGAAACAAGAAAAGTCTGGGGCGAGTCTCACCTCGCAGTCTCTTGTGGAATCGTTACTATGGACAAAACAAACTATAACGTGAGAAGTCATACCGTCCCAGTAACAGAAAAAAGAGACTGAGAGACGAGACTTCCCCAGTTTTCTTCTTGTTTCAAAAGTAACTTATTCATTTGCCAGTTAATCGTATAATGAATAATTAAGTAGAATGACAAGGATAACGACTGAAAGACTGCTCAAATAGCATTTTTTTTGTCCACTTAGAGTTCACTCTCGCGCACTCTGAAGGAAAACAAAAAGTGTGTGTACAGACTAAAACAGCAGACTGCAGCTAAATTTGTACTCAGATCATGAGTTTAACAAGATCGGACATCTCACAGTTTTGTTAAGTGTCCATTTTATGGAAGGCGTTAGTTTAGATCCGGGCAATCTTCGGGTCCGGGCCCGCCCGTTAAGACTTCAGATTGCTATGTTGGATTGCCATTTGAATTAACCAGGTTTGTATTCCTTTTTAGGATGATCGTAATCAGATGCTGACGACAAACGTATGGGTAAGACAAGTAAGTAATTTTTCCATCACCCGTGCGTACATTTTCAGCTACGAAATATTACTTGTACCCAAGACATCCTGAAATGTCAGTCGTCTCCACCCCCCTCTTCCCCCGCCCCCCTGCCCGCATCCCGACCACCAGGGACTTTGAGCTGATACCGGAGGGCGACTGGCATTTTTATGCTACAACTTGGAACGTGCCCAACTGTTTGACATAAACGATATAATTCATTTTAGAGGTGGAGAAACGAGCTGTTAACCTGGAAAGTGGGCAAGTACAATGGAGTGAAAACAATAAGAATGGATCCAAACTTAGTGTGGATACCAGATGTTGTGTTATACAACAGGTACGTATCTGTTTTAAGACAAAACATGTCAACATCGTCAAACGAGCTGAGTGACTGTCAGTCTTGTTGTAACAAAACCTGAGGCTGTCAATCTCAGAGCGAATTTTAATTTAAAAGTGCACGTTTATTTTTAGGACAGGAGAAAACCAGTGACCCCGGAGAATAAAAAACAAACAAACAAACCTACTTATGACTCCCGGCAGTGATCGACCCTTAGCCATATTGGAGCCAGTCCACCGTAGGAAAAAAGATGCTGGCTGTACATTTTACCACAATATCACGCGAACCTTACACAACCCAGAAACTACAAGAAAAGCCATATTTTTGCAATGTTGTCCCTGTGCTAGCGACTTAGTGTATGCCATGGGTTTGAAGTTTTTAGAACTTTTCTGTACGTTTTCAGTTTGTGAGCGTTATATAAGTTTTCGTGCGCTAAAAATCATGGGTGCTGAAATGTACCAGTCACCAACATAGTATTGCGACCCCTTACAAAACTGCACAAACCCTTCTCCTATAAAATAACCCCCTATCCAACTTGACGTCAAGGGGAAGTTTATCAAGAGATTTTTTTTTCTTTCAGTGCAGACAGTGTGTTCAGCGGTGGCCTTGATAAGTATAAGACACGCGTCATCATTGAAAACGATGGACGTAACGCTTGGTACAGTCCAGCCTCGTTCCGAAGCACTTGCAACATAGACGTGACGTATTTCCCTTTTGACGAGCAGACATGCACGATGAAATTTGGCTCGTGGACCTTCGTTGTGACGGACCTGGATATTGAAGCCGAAACGTCACCCACATTCTCCGATAAGTACGTAAAAAGCGCCGAGTGGGACCTCATTAAAGCCTCCAAGAAGCGAAATGTCGAGTTCTACGAGTGCTGCAAAATTCCACTTGCCGATGTCACAATCGAGATGGTTATCCGCCGTAAGCCGCTGTTTTACGCGTTCAACTTGATCACTCCGTGTATGATTATGCTGTCCATGATCCTCCTCGGGTTTTTCCTTCCGCCTGAGTCAGGCGAACGAATCACGCTAAGCATCACGGTCCTCTTGGCCATGGCTGTCTTTCTGCAGCTCGTAGCGGAGACTTTGCCGCGCAATTCAGAAACAATTCCTCTACTCGGTAAGTTTTACATCACGATCATGGTGGAAATCTCGGTGTCACTAATGTCAACTTGCTGGGTATTGAACATTCATCACAGAAATTCCGGTCGCTCTATCGTGAAAATTCCTGTATGGGTCGAAATCTTCGTCCTTGGATGGCTGGCGAATATACTGTGCGTGAGGAAACCAGGCGCCCAAAACGACGAAAGTTCCCTTGTCGAAAAACAGGAAAATGATGGCGGCAACTGTGATGATGATGATAACAGTGAAGTTCAAGTGAGGGTTGCATCGCAAGAACTTAATGGAAGGAATACTTCTATGAACGGTGAGGCGCATGCGCTGCTATCCATGAATCATAAGAAGACTCCAAAGTGTCGATCGATCACACAGATTCAGAAAAGGCTTTCACAACAAAATGGTGTAACAAAAATATCGGGTGACAAAGAGAAAGGAACAGAAAATAGCTTCGCACAGGACTTGGCAGTCCTGGCTGAACACACGAAATTGAACCGAGAAATCGAGCAAAATCAGAAGAAATGGAAGCACGTTGCTATGGTGATGGACCGGTTCTTTTTCTGGTTTTTCATTATCACTGTTCTGATCTCCACGTTACTGATATTCAAGGAGAAAATACGACAAGGAAGGAATGGTTGAATGATTAAGCTAGTCCCAGCTTTTAAAACTTGTAAAACGAAACCTGGGCGTCTAGAGCTCACAGCTCGTGCATGATCACCAGTGCAATTATAACCACAGATACAAAAGCAACAACTTTCAATTCCAAGAATATCCCTGTGATCCACATTTAACAATTTTACTCGATTCAAGGCAGCAGAACGGGACATGCCAACAACATGATATGTTCAAGTGAAGCTGAAGTCTCGGTGCCCACTGGTTTTTGTAGAAAATAGGAACCCCACTGTCTAAAGGCCAAGTTCAGGCAACATTTTCTTGTAACTTGTCGCCCTACATTGTTACCTTGCAAGTTATTTAAACCAATCGTGTGGCAAGTTCCGACAA